GGGCCCTACTGTTTAATACCCTAACTATGGTGGGAGTTGGAACTTGAAGATGGATGATGCTGTGTGAAAAGCATTAAAATATGTGCCATTGGGTTGACATTCAGATGTGGATGTGAAGAGACTGACACTGGAGGAAGAAAACATGGTGGCTTGGGTTAGGTTAACCCACGACTCAAGTGACAGTGCCACCTGCAATCCTATGGGAGGTGACCTGAATGCTTGCTGCTTTTGTAATTTAGGGAAAGAGCTTAGGAAACAGAAATTTGTTTTATTGGTTGGATACTATTGGTAGCAGTTGACAAGATGCTAACAAGATTAATTAAGGACAAACGGGACCAGTTCACAAGTAGAAATGAAAAGGAATAGATGATGTTCAGAAATTTGAGGACTATATAGGTTGAGCAAGCAAGTAGACAAATGAGCATATACATAAGTGAAAAACTAAGGTTGGAGAGAAGCATGGAATGAGAGAAGTTCTCTGTAAAGAACAGTTCCATGAAACTTTTTACATGGATTATATGACTCAGGAAATATGTTGCAAGATGGGGACTCCACCAGAAAATCCCAAAGCAGCCACTGCCCTGTCCTGTGTATTCATCCAAAGCAGAGCTGAGCAGAAAGCCCACATGCAAGGTGTTCATTTGCAAAGCAAGCTGAGAGAAGACTGAGAGATGAGAGATAAGTCAGGATTAGGGAGATCCAATAGAGAAATGCATCTGGAGTTGGCCAGTGCATTGGGCAACTGATAGTCAATTAGTTGTGATTTTCTGGGAGAGCTGTAGAGCTCATTTTGACACTGTGCACCCAGCCAAAAGGGGACAAAATACTTTTTCACTGATTTCAATTTTCCACTGGGTTAGGATGGATCCATTTCTCAGCAATTCCTATCCTGGATTGTGTGGATCCTGGGATTTCATAAAACTCATGAAAAATGAATGTTATGGAAAAAAAAAAAAAAAAAAACATACACAGGCCAGCGCCACGGCTCACTAGGCTAATCCTCCACCTTGCAGCGCCAGCACACCGGGTTCTAGTCCCGGTCTGGGCGCCAGATTCTGTCCCAGTTGCCCCTCTTCCAGGCCAGCTCTCTGCTGTGGCCAGGGAGTGCAGTGGAGGATGGCCCAAGTATTTGGCCCTGCACCCCATGGGGGACCAGGATAAGTACCTGGCTTCTGCCATCGGATCAGCACGGTGTGCCGGCTGCAGCGCGCTGGCCATGGCGGCCATTGGAGGGTGAACCAACGGCAAAAGGAAGACCTTTCTCTCTGTCTCTCTCTCTGTCACTGTCCACTCTGCCTGTCAAAAAAAAAAAAAAAACATACATATATTTCAAAAATACTTTGCACCAAAATAATCTTTTAATTCTACTTTCCATGAAATTTTAGAAGTACTCTCATATGCAAGTGCTGAGCTGGTCTTGAGGATGTCAAATCAGGATGAGAAGCAAAAGATACCTTACCCTGTGGAAAGGTGCATGGCTATAGTTGCAGGAAAGTGCAGAACAGCTGACTCGGATGGAATGGGAGAGCAACTTTAGTTGGAATAAAATAAGGTGTCAAGGTTCTGAAATAGTATGGGAGAGGAGTCTGGTAGAAACTCCCTTGAGTTGAGAGAATTTGGTATCTGAGCATGAAGAAAAAGGGTAACAATCAGATTAAGAATCCCATTACAAAAAAGTAAAACTATATGAATGAAATGGGCTAAGAAAGTTGTGTAACTTGCAACAGGCATATTCCCAAACATCCATTTCAAACGTTGCCAAAGAAAATGTTGGAAAAGGAAAAATATCTAGGAAACTAGAGCAAGGGTCCCTGGTTCCTGGAGATAAACCAGGAATTCCTGCCAGAGGGAGGAGAACAGAACCAAATCAAGGTACCTCCCATCCCACAGTAAAGGGCTCTACACAAGTTCTGCTCAATCTGATCTCATAATCACTGTGGAGTGCTGACAGCTGTATCTCATTGCTCATCTTTCCCATTGGGAGTTTTATGAGAGCCATTTTGTCCCCATTTCAACATTATCTATTGGATGTGTATAATGGAAAAAGGGCAGTTAATTTAGCACATGTCCCTAGGCAGCAAGAGCAAAAGAAGCAACATCTGGACATGATGGGGAAGACATGAGGACCACACAGAAATCTTGGACAGGGGCTAATAGTGGTAACTGAATGGGACGCTGGGTTACTTCCTTGGGGGTGGGGGTAGGGTTTGTTTGTGTGGGGAGAGAGGGTGAATTAATATTGGATGGCCAAAAGGTAGATCTGTAGAGATTTGAGGCTTACCAAATGCCTCTGGGCTCAACATTCCCCCAGGCCCCCTAGCAGTTTGGTTGGATATATGAATGTTATTCCAGCCAATGTACAGTGAGGGGAAGTAAGTTATTTTTGACTGAAGGCAGTTTGGAGACATTCTGTCCTTTCTACTCTATCTTCCCAGCCACAGATGAGGACATTGGAGGGCACACATTCTGCATGATTGGCCCGATTTCCCTCTTGGATGAGAGCAACCCTAAGGAGCAGCCCCACTAGAGTCAGACTCAGACATGATTGAGAGAGGAACTTTTATTGCATCAGACTGCTGGGAGTTGATGGCCTAGTGACATCATTCATTACTCTGAAAATGCAGCAAGGAGACTCACCTTCAAATTTTTATTTGAAATCTTGAAATTTCTTGACCAGAGCACAGCATCACAATTCACAACTGAAAGTAGGCCTTTTGATATCTAGATTTCACCCCATCAAAATGAAGTGTTCCAATCAGACCAATCTCAAATAAATCCATGCAACTCTGGACAAATGTGGGTAGAGACACTGCTCATCCTCGGAGTCTAATTCAAGAATGGCCTCGAAGATCATTACCTTCCTGGTACCCCTCTTCTCACAGTAGAAACTGACCACCATGTCTTGGATTCCCAGCAAGCACATTTTGTCTCAAATAAAAGAAACCAGCTCTAGCTAGTTTATTCCTTATTTATTCTTTATTTTATTTATTTATGTATTTATATTTATTTACTTATTCCTTATTTATTATTTATGCAAGGGTATGAGGTTGTGCAGGGGGGCTTCCTTGAAGGATCAGAGAACAACAATGGAGAATCCACAGCCCAGAACAGAGTAGACCGAATATATTGCAAAAACAGCTCAGCATAAATAACACTGTTTCACCTTATACACAGTTGCTCATGTTGGACACCTAGGGTCCTATTTGAACCTCTGTCACTCTAGGCCTATGACAAACCACTGCCTCCTGCACAGCGCCTGATTCTATGCTCCACTCACATCCTCTTCAAAACCTAACCTGTGTTGTTTCTGAAAAGTGAGCAGGAAAAGTGAGTAAATATCTTTCCCAGAGAGGAGCAGGGGGGAAGCAATCGGGAAAATTTCTCAAACACATTAAATATGTTCAGGAGCTGCCTGGCCAAAAGAAATCACTGATTTCCACTACAACCATGGACATCCTGCTACTCCGGACCCTAACAGCAATGTAATAGACACAAAATGTCTGTAGAATGGATGACACAGCAATGAAGGCCAGAGCGGAAGCATTTGGTTATTGCAACTCACACAACATCATTTTAAATGACCCCAGAGTGACTGGACTGCATAGCATGGCCATGCAGCGCTCGTGAGTTCACCAGAATTACCATTTCAGCCCCTTCCGTCTCAGCAGAAGTCAGGGCCAGAGCTGCGGAAAGCGAGCTCCAGCTGACATGTTCAGCCGCCACCTAAAGAGAAGAAGAGGAGCTCAGAGCATAATAGGACACCGAAGACAACCGAGCAGGCTTCCACTATCAAAGTGAAGTGGGGAATTAGAGCAATTTTCCTGACACTCCAGGCAAAAGTGGGCAGTTTGCCTGGATTATCTAGGTCACTGCTTCAAACTCGCACGCTCATTTTGCCCGTGGAGAACTGTCCTATTAGCGCCAGTTACCACAGAGTAACTAACTCAGAAATGTGCTCAGAGTAACAACAACCTCATTCCTAACAACCCCCTTTTAACTAGGCTTAAATATCCGTGATTTTTGGTCTTATTGATTCAGTCTGAATTTAAAATAGCAATGCTTTGGAGATGCATTGCAAATGCCACATACCGTTACGTTGCTATTAAGTTTAAACCAGACTGTGTCAAATCAAATGATAAAAAATGAGGATCCAATTCTCTCTCAGGCTCACTCGCAGGATTCCCCAATGATTACAAAAAGGAAGGAATCCTCTGCTATGATATTTAGGTTAGTAATGCCATTATAATAAAGTGTGTAATTTAGGTTAGTCTTCATTATGTCAAGAGGATTGCCACATACTCATCTCCTTCTCCAACTTTTCAGCTTTGCCCCTGTGGCTCACTCAGGGCACTGTTAATTGACACAATGAAGAGTGAGGACTGATTACAGGTCCCCACGGAGCTGCTGGGAGAAGAAGGTTTATGTACTCACGAAAAGGTTGCACAGACTCAGCTGTGGCTTGCTTCCCGATACCCCAATTCTTCTCTCGTCAGTGAACACGGTTAGGACTGGGAGGTACCCAACAACATCCACACTCCTGAAACCCATTTCATACATTTTATTATCTATTTAAGCCAAGCACCATTGCAGGTTCTGGTTTCCATTCTGAAGTAGCAATACAGCTGAGGAGCGGCACAGGGAGACACACCTGTTCCTGGTCATGAGCTGGTGGCCAGGGGCTTGCTCTATCACTACGTGCAGGAGCAGGGCGGCCTGGCTGAGGACGAGGCCAGGGCCCTGTTCGGCCAGGCGCTGGCCGCCGTGAGCTACTGCCATGGCCAGCACGTGGCGCACCGGGACCTCAAGCTGGACAACCTGCTGCTGGACGAGCACATGAACATCAAGCTGGCGGACTTCGGGCTGAGCCTGCGGCTGGAGCAGGGCACGCTGGTAAGGGACGCCTGCGGGACCCCCGAGTACTGTGCACCAGAGTTTTCCTCGAGGAGGACTACGATGCATTAAAGGCCAACGTGTGGAGTCTGGGGGTGGTGCTGTTTGCCATGCTGGAGGCCACGCTGCCCTTCGGCGGCAAAGACTTGGAAGAGCTGCAGGACCGGGTGCTGTGCGGCTCCTACGTGGTGCCACGTGGCATCAGCCCGGCCCTGCAGGAGCTGCTGGCGTGGCTGCTCACCGTTGACGCCTCGGGGAGGCCCAGTGCGGAGGACGCCAGCACCCACTCGTGGTTCAGCCTCAGCCGAGAAGCCGCCCAGGAGCACGAGGAGGGCGCGGTCACCCCGCTGCAGCCCCTGGGCGTTCCCCGGGACCTGGAGGCCAGGGAGTACCTGGCGGGCCTCGGCCTGCTGCCAGGCACAGGGACCGAGGGGACTCCAGGCCCTCAGCCCCAGGACCCTGCGTCCCTGCCCAAGTCCTCGCAGAACAGCAAGTTCCCCCCCATAGAGGACGACGGCTTGGCTCTGGTGTCCTGTGACAGCATGGCCGTCAACGTTTCCTCCGCACAAAGCGACTCCTCCGAGGCCCCCAGTGAGTCTTGCCCTCTCCCTGCCTTGGGCCCTCCAAGAGCTGAGCCCAAGGCCCTGAGGTGACCCCACTCTTGACTCTCTCCTACCAGGCCAGCCACAGCAGGAGAGGAGCCCTGCTCCCAGCGCCGCCCCCGACTCCCCCAAAGTCTCCAGTGAGTCTTCCCCTCTCCCCACCAGCCCCAGCCACCTCGGGCACTCTTGGGGCTGAGCCCTAGACCCCCTTGGTCACCCCACTCTTGACTCTCTCCTACCAGGCCAGCCACAGCAGGAGAGGAGCCCTGCTCCCAGTGCCGCCCCCGACTCCTCCAAGCCCTCCAGTGAGTCTTGCCCACTCCCCACATCCCCTGCCACTTTGGGGCCTCCAGGAGCTGAGCCCAAGGCCCCCGAGGTGACCCCACTCTTGACTCTCTCCTACCAGGCCAGCCACAGCAGGAAAGGAGCCCTGCTCCCAGCGCAGCCCCCCAGCCAGCCTCCAAGGCGTCGCCCTCCAGCCCCAATGCCAGGAGCCGTGTGGACCTCGCAGAGCCAGAAGCCGCCGCAGCTGCCCGTGAGCCTGAGGGGGCTGGGACCGCAGCCACCGCTGACACCACAGACTCCACAGCCAGCGCCCAGGACAAGAGGCAGGGCCGGCACGGGGTCGGCAGGAGGATCCTCCGGTTCCTGCCGAGGGCGTGCTGCATCCTGCCGTCCTGAGGGAGCAGCCCTGGTCACTGCTGCCGCAGAGTGGCCCCCAAGTAGCCTCGCTCCGCCCCCGTCACCAGGAGCAATGCGCAGGCTGAGCTGACTGAACGTTTTTCTTTTCTTGAACATTTGCAAATGCTTCTCATGAATAAACTTCACCTTTGTGCGTGCCTTTGGTCCCGTGTGATGTTTGGGTCCCTGTGTGCACCTTGGGCAGGTGATGGAGGTATGGGCGGTATTGTCTTTCTCATGGAAAGACAAACACTGGGCGATCACACCCGTGTGGGGATCACAGAAGGGGTGACCTCATAGAAGTAAAGCATAGAGTGACACCTCCCAGAGGCTGGGCGGGAGAGAAGGAGGGAGGGGGAGTCACTCGTCCACATGGCACAGGCACATGAGGGTCGGGGTCTGAGGTCTCTGGCACAGCAGGGAGGTCCCAGTCCACAGAGCTGTGCATTGCAACAGAGCTGTCAGTGTCCTATCCAACATCTCCTGCGTCGTCAAGGGAAAACACAACCCCATTCCCCCGAGGGCCATGCACCTGACCTCATAGGGTCTGCAGTCCAACAGCTGCAGGTGGAGCCGGGCAGGACGTCCATGCTGCTGTGTGCCCGGCCTGCCCAAGGTGAGGCCCAAATGCAACAGAGGACACAGGCAGGACGAGGACCTGGTTTTAGTTCAGGAGGCCCCTGGTAGCACCCAGGCCTTCCAAGTTCCCAGAGAACTGAAAGAAAGGCTTGAGACCTACTGGAGAGGACATGACCCTCTGCCCCACCTGGGGACACTGGAGGATGGGACCTCCCCCACCCCGGTCTTCCTCACTTCCACATTTCTGGAGCAGGCAGGCTGTGCTTAGTGAAGGAGCTTTCTTCCAGATCTGAGGTTACATGGATGCTCTGTGCACAGAACTGGGCTGCGTGGGCTCCAGCAGGTGCTCACGTCACACATGCACTGCCTCTGGAAAGTTCCATGGCGAAGTGACTCAGAGTTATCAAGGTCACCCCAATGAGTGACCAGTGCTTCACAGCTGTCTTGAGTGACAGGGCTCTGAGCCGTGTGCTGGGCATAGGAGACCCTGTGACCCCTGACCTGCACGTTACCTGGGTCCCACCATCAGAAGTCCCGTGGGAACCCCAGGTCCTGCCAGCGAGTATGCATCTTCCCCAGGGCCCACTGCACAATGACAATGGCCCAGGGACCAGGCCCTGTCAGGGGTCACAGAGGTGGCCTGGGCGAGGCCCCCAGGAGGCTCGGGTTGCTGACTGCACTGCTGAGCTCCTGACCGGGCCCTATGCAATGTCTGCGGCCTCTCCACACTGGTATTTCAGCTTTGAGAGCTATGGAAGGAGCAGTCCCTCTGGGAGGCTTAGCCTGGCTCCCAGCCTTAGGCTTGTCTCCAGCCTGGGGATCAAGAGGGTGGTGGACAGCAACAACAGCATAGCAGAGGGCTGGTGGGCTGGTGGGCTGGACCATCTAAATTCTTATTTATAAATGACAACTTGATCCATCTAGTCTAACATCTTAAATAAGGAAATGCAAAGAGCGTGGATCAATTTTTTTAAAAAGCTGAGTCAGAAAACAAGAAGAGGGACCCACATCTGTACTTATTTTAGTCCTGTAAGTCTTGCAACTCTTCTTAGGAGTTAGTATAAGCAAACTGCTGTTAACTGGGATAATCACACAGCACTCTGTAGAGTGAGGGTAATGACACTGTGAGTGCCCAAGGTTTTGAATAATCTGGGCTGATTTTGTATAGTGTATAATTCACAGCAAAGATTCAGAATGCCTTCTTTTTTCCTCTAAGAACAGCTTCCATCTTTATGCTTTCAACCATTACACATGGAGACACATATTCAGTCAAATTTGATATAGAAATATTGAAACATCTGCAAAAATATAAATTATTGATATTTTCCCAGTGCTGTCTCAGGCCATTTCTGTTGTTAAGTTCACTGAAGCTCCCTGAGTTTAACACTAACATGGGCAAACTGGCATCCAGACCTTAACAGAATTTTCAAGAAATTAGGTAGGCAATAGCAAAAGGAAAGATCATCTACAAGTATTATGTAGCAGCAAAGATGTGATCAATTGTATAAAGAAATTAAGTGAACAATACATATTGCACTATTTGTAAAGTACAATACAAACAAGGAAAGTGATTTTTTAAAAAAGATTTATTGATTTATTTATTTCAAAGGCAGAGTTACAGAGAGGCAGAGGCAGAGAGAGAGAGAGAGAGAGAGAGAAATCTTCCATCTGTTGGTTCACTCCCTAAATGGCCACAACTGCTAGAGTTGGGCCAAACTGAAGCCAGAATCCAGGAGCTTCCTCCAGGTCTCCCACACTGGCACAAGAGCCCAAAGACTTAGGTCATCTTCTACTGCTATCCAAGGCTATGGCAGAAAGCTGGATGGGAAGTGGAGCAGCCGGGACTTGAACAGACACCCATATGGGAAGCCAGCACTGCAGCTAGCAGCTTTATCCTTAGAACCCATATCCTTTATTTTTTTAAAAAGTGATTTATTTATTTATTTGAAAGGCAGAGTGACAGAGAAAGAAGAGAGAGAGAAAGAGAGAGAGAGTCCAAAGCTAGCTCATTCCCCAAATGCCAGGAATAACCAAGACTAGGCCAAGCTGAAGCCAGGAGCCAGGAACTCCATCTGATTCTTCTGCATGAGTGGCAGGAACCCAAGGACTTAAGCTATCATCTACTGCTTCCAGGGCAGATTTGTAGGAGCTGGATTGGAAACCTAGGGTAGCCAGGAATCAAACCAAGCACTCTGATGAGGGATGTGGCATCCAGAGTGGCAGCTAACCCACAATGCCCACCCCTGGAAAGTGAACTGAGTAGAGAGGCCCTGCACTCACCTGTGCCAGAGAGAAGAGTAGGAACAGCAAAGGAAGGACTGCATTTCCAGGACACTGACTGAGAAGAAACTTCAGTTAGGGAGTGACAAAGACCACACAGCACAGACTCAGAGCACACTGCAGCTCTCAGTCTTGCTCCCCAGCTGGGGCTCTCCATCTTGCCTGGAAAAGGTAAGCAGAAAGCTCCATGACCCCCACCATCCCCATCCTTACTGCCTTTAATTTCAGTCTAGAACATTGTCAGAGATCTGAGCAACTGCTTCATTCCAGAAAAGAAGCTCGTGTTGCCTCCGTCCACCCCTGTGGTGGAATGAGAAGGCCATGCCAAGATGGCCGCTGGCAAGTGAGCATCAGTTACTCAGGAATGGCTTTGAAATCCACCTGGCAACAGAGCCTGCCTGGCAATAGGCTGTGATTGGATGGCTTTGGAAACCACATGGCAAACGGAGCCTACCTGGCAACAGGCTTTGATTGGTTAGGGCATAGACCGGATTGGCTGGCCTTGGCTATATAAGCTGTTGTACCAACTGAAATAAATGAGTCTTCGGGCTGCTCGCCTCTGGCCCACTTTCACCCGACTCCCAGGGTCTGTGTGATGATCCGCCCCTCTTTACACCACCATGCTCCTCTCAGGAACGAATCCTCTCAGAAGAAATCAACCTCAACACACCCCAACACCAGAGACTGCTGTTGCTGCAGTCCAGCCACTACTGAACTCCATTCTGAAATAGCGGTCATTTCAGAACAAGGCCCTTCACGGGACAGAGACCAAGTCCTTATGCATCCTGCAGTTCTGGTCTTGTGAGTGTTTGGTCCCAGGGACATCTGTACTCACCCATGGGGATGTGGGAAGGCCCTGTCTGCATCCCAAGAATGCACTTGCTAGTAGACACCACCCCTCATAACTTGGTATTAGACAGTGGAATGCAAGCAAAACACCATCCAAGTCCTGCAGCTTTGGGACTTGGACTATTTTAGGAGTTATATTCTACACAGTTATCTGATGTCATCCTGTGGAACCCAGGGAGGACTCTCTGTGCATTCCTCTGCCCTAGACTCATGCCTGTCAGTGAACTCTCCCCAGCAAAACCTGGGTGTGGAACATAGCATTTGAGTAAAATCTCCACTGCATTTTGCAGCTCTGGGATTGTGACTATTGCCTCACCCTGTGGTACTGGAGAAAGGCACTATTTCCATTCCGCTGCTGCATGCACATGCCTTCCGGTGCACAAGCCCCAGTACGAGTTTTCCTGTGGGACCCAGGGATATATCCTTCATGCTCTAGAGCTCCAGTACAATGACTGTTAAATTCCTCAAAGCCACTGAACCCCCACTGTGCAACCTGAAGATCTTACCTGCATTCCATTGCCCCAGGCTTATACCTGCCAAAACCCTAGCATAACCTGTATTCTCCCTCCATGAAGCTTGGAGAAGTTCCCATTCATATTCCCTGGTGCTAGGACTCATGTTTTTGGTGCTATGATCCCCAGCATCAACCACATCTACTCAGCAAGAACTGGGGTAGGTTCCATCCATATCACACATGTCCAGAGCCACAGCTATTGGTGCCACAAGACACAGAATGCCTCAGTCTTGCCTGGGGATGATAAAGAGACATCTCGTTTTTTGCCCCATGCTCCAGGAATGTGAAAACTGTCATCATCAACCATAGTCTGACTGACACGCAACTTTCAACTTTCCATGTTATGGTGATACATACCGTTAGAAGCCTACACTTCAAAGTCATACTTCTACTTCCACGAACTGCTGTAGACCAAGCAACTCTGGGACTCATAGGTACTGTTGACATTGATTGGAAATGAAGAAATCACTCAGAGATTATTCTTCTAGAATCACCTAGAACTGAAGCCAAAGGAACTAACCAAATGATTCCCTGCATTTCATCTAAACAAAGGAGTCTTTTCCAATGAAAGCTACTCCATAAAGAAGGAACAGTTACACCAGATATAACTGATGTGCAGACATCAACAGTGGGGTACAAAAACATGAAGAAGCAAGGATGCATGACACCTTGAGAAGAACACAGCAGTTCTCCAGAATAGTTGCTGATTTGAATGACATCTATGAAATACCTGAAGATTTCAAAATAACGATCCTGGGGCTTGTGTTGTAGCACAGTGGGTTAAGTCACTGCCTGCAATGCCAACATCCCATAGTAGAGAGCCAATCCAAGTCTCAGCTGATCAACTTACAATCTAGCTCCCTGCTAACACACCTAGGA